TATGACATAGTAACATGTAGTATGACATAGTAACATGTAGTATGACAGTAATATTATAGCGGTTGAACTCATAATATATTGGAATTAAACACCTTGAAATGTACATTTCACAGTTTAAAACGTTAAAACCATGACTGATGGACATCGGATCAGGCCTACGGTGCCTCTAAGCCATCTCCATGACCTTCTTGATCCAGTCGACGTACACAGAGACGCGGATGAAAATGTTGGGCTGCCCCGGGTGTCCGCAGCGCCTCATGGGGATGATCACGCCCTCAAGTACCCAGCAGTCCCCGTTCCGACACGCCAGAGGGCCGCCGTAGTCTCTCTGCAGAAACAACACTCTGGAGTCATTACAGGTCTCTGTTATGGCTGCCTGTCACTGGTGAAGCTGGAAACATCTTGCAGTCACATCTCACCCAGTTCGCTTACTGTACATTGTCCATACGGTGAAAGGGTTTGATTTATTGGAACTTATAAATACCTCAGAGTTCTTTGTGTAAAGGATTTTAAATTAGCAGAAGGACTTTTCTTTTCTGTGTTTGAGGTGTTAATTTACAACACTTCGTTTGTGTTAGTTTTGGTGGAAAATAAGTGTTTTATTTTGAAGATGTACGCTTGTTCACATTTGACAGAGGGTTTGAACAGGAGTTCTTATATGGTTAGTTCAGCTCTTCTTAGCACAAACACAAAAAAAATAAAACTCAGAGTGGCTTTGTCTATAAAACTCACAACCTTGTTAGTTCATGTGAAGCTTAGTGAATAGTTTTTATTAATTTCAGAGTAAAGCAAGCAATTAATTCACCGTTTTTAATTTAACTAACCCGCTGTTGGCTTTAGGTTAAAGCTTAGCAATGAAATTAGTATTAATTTTAGTCGGTTGATTAAACATTTCTATATACACCTTATAAAAAGAATAGTTCAGATATTTTAAAGTGAGGATCTGTAAAAAAAAAAAAAATTATAAACATCTAATATCTTACCTGCTGCAGATAGCTATAAGAGGAAGGTGCTGCTGCCCTTATTTATTCTTATAAATAACCACAGAATTGAATGTAAATAAAACTTTTCCTTTGATCGTCATTTTCCATGTCCTGCACCTCACACTGATCTTCATCTGCTGTTTCCTCAACGCTCTCATCAAAACTCTGGTCTCTGGCCACATAATTACTTCTTAACTCAGTTATCAACTACTAAGTGGCACACTCTGCCCTGCAGGTGCAATTAAGTACGTCACAATTCAGTCAAGAGAGGGTGAAACTGTCCGACATGGTCCCAGAAATTCTGAATCTTATTACGACCTCTTAAAATCTTGTGTGGCCGCACTGCAATATCTATAAACACACACGTTAAAAATGAGTGTTAGCAAAAACTACTCAGCAATATCAGAACAAAAGATTTCTTGCCAAATGCTCAAATCATTAAGAGCCTTAAATCGTCGCCAACCTTTGACATTTATTGTGTGTCACAGCCGCACTCGTAGCCCTTTATCACCTCCCTCTATCCGTTCACAGACAGAAAACCACCAGGTGACACTGAAAGGTTTATAAAATAGTATTTGCATGAACCATCGTCAAACCTTTGAGACTAGGATTGCTTTAACAACAGCAGTCGTCTTTAGTCTTGGCCCTGACTAACAGTTAACTCTCATCAGTCTAGTCAAAATAAAACTATAGTCACTTTCAAAAACAGCACTGCAAAATGGCCGCACAGACCAGTCTGTCTTTCAGCTTCTTCTGCTCGTTCGTAAATCACTGATGAAGCCAAGCACGGCCTAAAAGATGCGAGCTTTCAGACATGAAGCAGGCTGTGTGGAACCCAAAGAGGCGGGGAGCAGAACTGAGTTGGGCTCAAGTGGAGCGTTACCGCTTCAATTCGTTTGACAAAACATACAATTTACGTCACTTTAGTATCTTCATTGTGGTTAACTGTTCTTTGTAAACTAACTACAAAGTTGCAATGTCATCATTGACATTCCCTCTGTAATAAACCCGTTTTTTTTTGTTTTCTTTCTTCGGCTGCTCCCTTTCGTTGGGATCCTCACAGCGGATGAACTCGCACAAAGATTTGGCAATTGTTATTTTTAGTTGGATGTACGGTGGCTGTGAGGTGTAAATGAACTACATTTGAAAAAACAGAATTGCATTAAGACAAAGCGGAAGTGGCCAAAGCAGAAGTGGCCAAAGCAGAAGTGGATGAAGCGGAAGTGGATGAAGCAGAAGTGGCCAGAATCACATTTGAAAAAACTGAATCACATTTGAAAAAACTGAATTGCATTAAGTAAAACCAGAAGTGGAGGGGTTTGTTTTTAGTGTATTTTTTTTTATTTACTTTATTAGGTTATTTATTTATTACATTTATTTATTAAATTTTTTCAACGTAATTTCGTTTTTCAATTGCTTCGTGTGTTGTCTGTTGTTCTGTCTGTACAGCACTTTGGTTGGCCTTGGAGCTGTTTTAAGTGCTCTATAAATAAAATGGTATGGTAAATGTGATTCCGGTCACTTCCGCTTTGGGTTAATATAATTCTGTTTGTTCAAATGTTGTTCATTTACACCTCACGGTCACCGTACGGAAGCCCTTCTTGACACAACCACAGATCACTGAGCTACCACTGCCCACATGTGGGGAGCAGAGGGCTGCCATCTAGGGCGCTCGGGGAGCAGCTGGAGGACTTTGTTTCAGAGTGCACAGTGGGGCAATGAAGGCTAACCCAAACCCATTTGTTGATGTTTAATCCCGCAACACTATTGTCATCAGTTCATCACATTATTGAGCTGCGGCACTGCAGCGGATAACTTTGTCTTGTCTGCCATTTGGGCTCTGTTATTATACCATACCATATCATTTTATTTATAGAGCACTTAAAACATCTACAAGGCCAACCAAAGTGATGTACAGACAGAACAACAGACAACACACAAAGCAATATAAAAAATGAAGTAAATCAAAAATATAGACATAAAAACGATGCAGATAATAAATATGACGACAAACCAGTGTGGAGCGTACAGGTTCAAAACACAGATCCTCTGGTATTGAAAGCTACTGAATAGTAGTGAGTTTTTAAACGGGATTTGAAAACCGAGAGGGAGGGGGCCTGTCTGACAAGCAGAGGTAACTCGTTCTAAAGTCTTGGTCCTGCTACAGAGAAGGCCCTGTCCCCTCTGCGCTTAAGACGAGTTCCTGGAACTGTGAGGAGCAATTGATCCGCTGACCTCAGGGAACGTGGTGGGACATACGGTTGTAACAAATCAGAGAGATGGGGGGGGGG